CGCCCCGCTGCCCGGCGAGCTGCCCCACGGGGGCACGGTGGGCGAGACGGGGCCGCAGAGCGGCTGCTCTTACGCCACAGCCTTCAACCATCGCAATTTAAACAGCCACTGCCTCTGCCCGGGGGGCAGGGTTCCAAACAGGGACGTGCTTGTAGGAGTGTACAGGGAGGGAAACTGAGGCAGGGTAACTCCTAGGAAAGACTGTTTCCCACCTCCCTGTCTGACCTCAGTTACCCTCTGAATAATGGAAGAAACCCTCCCAAAACACACCCTGTCTCAGCCAGATGCCCGGAGCAATCGTGAGCAGGGTGGAGAGCTGATGCTTGGCTGGTCTGACTCCTCCTGGCCCCTCTCTCAGCACAGACCCGGGGACCGGCAAGAGCCTACCCCCTTTCCCCTCAGGTAGCGGCTCCTATCCCTCCTGTGCTCCCAAGTGTCAGGATTTTGGATTTTGGAGATTGGGAAGAGTTGCTAAGCAACAGTGCCAGGCTGTGCCTGGCTGAAGGCAGGACCACTAACGCCATGTGACAGCACAGCCTTTTAAAAAAATAAAAATAATAAAAAAAAAAGGCAGATAGTTGCCGGGAGCAGAGCACTGAGCCCAGCTCCGAACAGGGCTGCTGGTCTCCAAGCCCGAGCGCAGCACTCACCGAAGCCCTGGGGAGTGCCCAGCGCGGGCGGAGGAAGGCTGAGCCGTGCTGCCTGGGCACACATCTCCCTGCGCCCGTGGGGTCTGGCGACTCTGCAAGAGTCTGGAGCCACCCGAGCCCTTCTGCAAGATGGCACAGTCTGCACCTGACCTTGCCAAGCAACCTTCCACAGGGGTTTTTCTTTTGGCTCAATGCTTTTTCTCAAAACCCTCTTGTAGCACAATGCAAGGACACAAAGATGTCCCCATCACCAAGGCCAGGGAAGTCTCTGACATCAGTCCACCTTTCAGGCCTGGCGTTTTTGTCTGTTTTCCTTTGCTTTTGCTTTTTAAACAGAATTCTTTCCCCCATCTCAGTCCAACAACTAAATGGCACACATGGAAACACAGGCACGCAGGGAAGAACAGCTGGACAAGGTCTCCTCCCTTGCACTGAACTAACCCAGTTCTTTCCAACAGCACTTTCCTTCTGGGTAAAGCAAAGGACGTGCTTAAATCTTCTACCCATACAGCTTAAGCATTTCACTGCCGAGCTCAAACAGCCAAGGCAACCAACCGGCAACAAGGGGACTTTCCACAAAGGACGTGCACAACTCAGTGCACATCAACAATACACCTTTTTGGAACTTGGACCCTCGTGGCATTTTGCAACAAGCACTGGATATCAGGAAGTAAAATTTAATATTTTATGCTGTGGTAGTTGAAAACATCCCTATGCCATTTCTAGCAACACCTGAACGGTTCTGAGCATCCAACCAAGAACTGCATTCAAATACCAAACGCATCAGCAGACTCTGATCCGGTGGAGAGGCACTTTGGTCAATATTATGACAGTACATTCATTTCCAAGACATGTAATATGCATGGGCTCTATAATTTATTAAACGATCAGGTTACTCGATTTGCACATACAGGAAAAAACCATACCAGGGAAGCTTGTGTTTGACTGTCCCCCAGGTTGTTCCAGCAAGAAAATCCAATTTCTCTTTGTTCTAGCATTAGCAAATTACTTGGGAGCAGGGGGAAACAAAGTGACCGCTGCATACCAATAAAGCCATATTCAACTCCAAACACTAAAGCTGTTGCTTCACACCAAATTGTGGACCAGTAATCAGCAAGCAAACCCAAAGTTTCTAGAACTGCTGAACAGCACAGCCACTAATTGCCTCCTGTTCAATGGCATTCAATCTCCGTGTGCAAGTCAGCTTGTCCTCTTTCACTCTGTGGGTTTGGGTAAGCAGAATTTAAAAAAAGAAAGAAAAACATTTAGCTAATCTGATTTGCATATCTTAGCTTAACGTAGCCGTCCTTTGAAATTTAATCAAACTTAGCACGTTGAAAAACAGTGTAAACAAGGCAAAGTGAGCTTTAGCACATGCTCAGTTGCAGGGAAAACCTCAGCTGGTATAGTTGCACCAACAGCACCCAGATGATTTGTGCTGTAACAGTCTAGGAATCTATTTTCATGCAGTAGATTCCTACGTTTTCATTAAAAAAAACCCAAATGCAATTAATTTAGTGCTGGATTGACAAGAGATGAGAATGCTGGGGTATAACCATGACCTTGTGTTTTCATTACATATTTCTGAATATGGCTTTCTCCATGGAACTACCATAACCTCTTCCTAAGAGGGAGACGCACGAAACAACGCTAACGAATTCAAGATGCACAGCGCAGCCTGAGCGCGCCTTGGCCCCACGACACAGCTCCAGAGAGACCCGCTCCTCCCCGGCCATACGGCTCCAGCCCTGAAGGACAGCCTCGGGCCAGGGCCAGGTCTCACCGCAGGGAACCTGAGCCCCAAATCCCTTATCCAGAATGAAGCACTCATCTCTCACCGAGTCACTGGGAATTGTGGGGATACCTCCAAGGGTCCAGGACCTGGGCTGGTTTTGTTTTTTCTTGTTTGGTTTTTTTTAATTTATTTTTTTGAAACAAAGATTCTGGAGACAGGGATCAGAGTGGTGAGCTCTGCCCCGTTAAAGGGTACCTGCTCCTCACCCTGGCACCTTACCCCTGGCTTCAGCTTGCAGTGCTGTGGGCTACCCGCAGCAGCCGAGATTTTCTGGTTGTTCTGTGCCCTGTTATGGGGTGAGCTGCCAGGGACAGGAGCGTTTTCTGCCATCCCTGTTGCAAACCATGAAGCTCAAGTCAATCCCAGCTGGCTTGCCTCGTGGGCACAGGATGGATCCTTTACCTACAAAGGCCTGGGAGCAGAGACTCACACAGAAGCATCTCCACTGAAGAACTGTGTCTATCTCCTTTTTCTTTGAAGGAACAAAAGAAACAACCCGGGGAAGCGCCTGAAGTTTACACAAGAGGTGCTGCAGGGTGACTGCTGCACAGTGACAGCCAGCCAGCCCCGGCTGTACAAGAAAGGCACAAGCTGCTTTCTTGACAGATAAAATCCCAGCCCCCTAAAAATCCCTGTTCCAAGCCCATTTCATCTTGGTTTAAAGACAAAGAAATATACACATTTCAGTTTCTCCGTTGAAGAAAATCAGCATCCCCCGTTCAGCTGCTCGGCAGGGCCTCCCGCATGTCTGCGCCCAACTCTGGCCCCACTTCTCACGCGGTGCAGAAACAGCGCAGATCTGAGCGCTCTGGAAAGCAAAGGCTCTTTGCAGCTAAGAGAAGAAAACCCAGGCACCGAGGGTACAGGGCCCACGCTTCTGCCCAGCCCTCGGCCCAGCAGCAGCCGCGCGCCGCTCGGCACGCTCTGCTCCATCTGTCTGATGCCTGCTGCAGCCGGGCGGCTCTGCTCGAGCGGCTGGTAGTGCCGTGCTTAGGGCACGTCACCGGGGAGCAGGGGTATTTTTAGCTCGTGGCTAAATCCGCATCACCGGGCTGGAAGCGGTCAGACCGAAGCATGAATGGTACGGTGCATCCCAGAGCCTGCACGGGAACTCGCCACCAAGTGGGTGGGCTCACGCTAGGCATGAATTACTTATCGGAGCCGATGGGAGAGGAGGGGTATCGATTCACAGGGGGGCTGCACACCTCTGCGGAGCTGGCGGCGCTCAGGAGTTTTTTGTCTGTGCTGAAGGGTTGCAAAGACCCAGCACCTCCTACGTTTTAGTTGGGAGTCATTGAAATCTGCAGACTTTGTTCTGGGCAGCTCTGCCCTGGCAGCCGCTGGATACTTTATTTTACGCAGCAATACGAGAGCTGCACACCGCGGCATTGCATCAGTGAACAACAGAACCACCGACAGGCCAAGTTAAGAGCTTTATTCTGGTTAGGCATCTCCTACAAGAGAGTCTTTTGAACATGAACCAGTCTTTCCTTCACAAGGATCAAATTCCTGAAGATTTTATACCCAGAGTTGTTATTCTTGGAAGAAACGAGGTGTCTTAAAACAAGGCTATTTTCACTGGATTTAAACGTTCAAGATTGAATCTTGAAAGATTATCACCCTACTGCAGGGCATGGACAGACACTCTGGTATAAACCAGTAGCAAGACAGATCCCACTGTCATCAGAGCTCATCCAGCTTGTTTCAACTCTGCCCTGCTGTGCACCACCAGCCACTTGCCACCCTGTGAGAAGTCTCCATCCCTGAGGATGCTGGAAGCGCAGCCCTCCGCAGGGTTTGGGGTCTGGCTGACCCTTGTACAGGCAAGGCTTGATGCTTTTAGGATGGTTTGTACTAGAGGAGGTTACTGCTTAGAGGAAATCAAGGTGAGCAGCAGACTGAGTCAGGGTTGCATTGGTAGTTAAAATACAAGGGACTAAGACAAACCCACAAGATTTCCTCAGTTTTCCCTCCTGCAAGCTATCGGCCTGCTCCGTGCTGAAGCCCAGGTGGTGAGGGAAGGAAACGGCCGGCGTAGTCACAAGAGGGAGGATGTGTCGGCAGCAGAAATACAAAACCAGAAGCTTCAGTGGATGGAAGTGTTTGAAATCTGTTTACGAGACGTGACCCACTTTCTCCCGTACGTAAGGCAAAGAGGCTGGCAGATCCCGCACGCCCCCAAGCATCCCGAGTGATGGATCGCGCTCAGGAGAGGCACTGCTTCCAGGGCTCCTGCTAAAGCACCGAGAGAAGCCTCTTCTCGTCCGAGCCCTGGCAATGGCTGCAGATACCACTGCAGAGAAACTGCCTGGCATCCCCGTGCTCTCCCTGCGAGCTTGTAACATGTTCTCCATGGACTATCACCAGTTCAGGCAGGCTCGGGCAAGCAGCCTGGTCTTGAGCTGGCAAACCCTCCCAGAATGGGGAGCACTGCCTGTCACTCCACATTTTCTAGCATTTTCTTCCAGAGCTAGAAGGGGGCATAGGCTGGGCTGCAGGATCGACAGGGCTCATCTTCCCAGCCACGCACAGCCCCCTCTCTCCCTCCCAGCTAGATCCCCCCCCAGCCAGCACCGCAACACCCCAGTGCCAAACAGGAGAAGTACCAGCATTCCTGAGCTGAGGTACAAAGCACCCTGGACGGTAAGGCTCGGGCACGGCCGGGGCAGGCGGCGTGAGTGGCAGCAGCACTGCAGTGCAGGGGGAGAGGCCGTGCCAAGCTCAGTCGGGAGCGGAGGGAGGACTGGGGGAGGCGCAGAGGTTGTTCTCATCTGAAACCCCACAGTGAAATCAAGTCATAAGGTCCAACAGCTGCTATTTTTTTGCCCTCTTGCATGCTCCATCTTTTATATTCCAAAATAGAAATAATTATGAGCACAAAGAGACTCATGGTTTCTGTCTGCAATTGAAGCAAGAGGGTGTTCATTGTGTAATAGCAGACATGAGCGAATAAAAAGGTTATACAGGGTTTGTAATCAATAGGGACACTTTTTTCCTCTGTGAAACATAGCAGCTTTTGGTAGAATCACTTGGCTCCTCTCCAGAACCTCTTGAACAGGAGCAAAGCTGCTACGCTGGCCCCATTCCACTTTTTCACGCTCCCTCATCCTTCAGCAGTAGTAAGGTCATACGTACAAGTAGGATGCTCACAGAAGGAACTAGACTGCTAAACCAGGACAGAGCACGATCAAAACACATCAATACATCAGCTAACAACAGCAGATCAAAACTCTTCTCACATGGTCTGTCCTCCATAGCTGTCAAAACATTTTATAGTGTATGTAGGGTTACTCTTCCACAACAAAAAGAAAGTGATGCTGAAAGGTGAAGTGACTGGCCCAGGATTATGCAGCAGGTTAAAGTCAGGGCTGGAACACCTCACCTGAAACACCCAGTAGCAGGACAGGATTTCTGAACAGCCCCAGCACCATAAGGAGCTCTACTTAAAAGAGCAGCTTTGCAGAGACGCAAAGTATAAACGAGAAAACAAGAACACAAGGTCCAGAATGAAAGGAAGAAACAGAGAGGTCAAAATCTAAGATCTGGGATTTTAGATGTGCTTTGATGGGGACCTAGCTAAAGTTTTTGACTGAAACAAGCCCTAGTATCCAAGGCTGTTTCGTTCATAAGTGCAACACCCATCTATCCATTAGCCATAGACAATGCTATCAATTAGGTGAGGTCTAGTGACCATACATGGAAAGTGCTCTCAGCATGGCAGGATTAAGCTACTCACCGGCATTCAAGTGACAGTCTTTAATCTGGAACTGAAGCTCGTTCTCGTTTGGAATATCCTTCCATGTTGCAAGGAAGACCTGGCGCTCTAGAAATGAGAAATAGGATCAGCACTCCTGGATCCTCACAGGACCGCAGTATTAATTCACCACAGAATATTACAAGGTAGACACAAAAAAGATCTTTTAGTCACATTTTGCCCTGCCGTGGACAGATCCAGGATTTGCTTCTGTAACAACCTCAGTCTCACTGTAAAAGTAGCAAAGCTTTGATGGATTTTGGAACCCCCAAACCAGAGACAGTCTTTACCACATGAGCTGTTTACAAACCAAGAACAGGCGGGATTTGAGTAGCAGGAAGGAGAGCCACACATTGAGGAACACCTTTGTGAAAGCTGCTTTTCAAGCAACTTCCCAGCCAATTCAAACAACAATTTAATACACGTGACCACAAATACACAAATTACAGGGCAAGTAGTATGGGGGCAAATCCTAGACCCATTTGAATGAATCAAACCCTCAAAAAACCCCCCCAAACAACCCCAAAACCAAACCACCCAAAAAATCAGCCATGAAGTAACCCAATCCATCCCTTGTCTGGCAGAGAGCATCAGAGAAGAGGACTTGGGTTCTGTTAACTATCGGAGTTGCAGGGACAGGCTCCCAGACCAGATCAGTTCAGACTGCTGAGATGCACCACCATGAAGGTCACGGCCAAGCACGTGTGACTCTCAGCCGCGGGACAACTGCGCCCAGCCAGGCGCTACGAGCACAGTCCAGCTGATGGAGGCCGGCCACAGACCTGAGAGCACTCACCCATTTTGCCATCCTCTACGAAAAGCACGTTGAGAGGAATTAGGCAGCTGAAGTAAAAGACATCAATGTTGTTTTTCACAGCCACCTGTTACAGAGGAAACAGGGGGGTTAAAGCATCTCTATATCAGCTGGAAGTCCAAAGGAATCCCAAGATTGTGCGTGGTCAACTCGCCTGTCGGAGCATCCTGGCCTGCTCTCTCTGACCAGAGGCCAGGAGAGACGTTACTGAGCTTCTGGGTAGTTTCAGACAAGGATAAGTCCCACCCCTCTGTGCTCACTCCATTTTCACTAAAAGCCACTCAGTCTTCTCCAGCGATCATTTCACCATGCTGCTTCAGAGCCAATTGTGCTGATGGGGTCACATCCTTGCTCTTTTCTGCTCTTTTTCAGCCTCTCCCCTCACTTCTTCCGGCTCTGGGGTACGTTCATACCTCTTGGCTGCACACAGCTACTATCAATGTCTGTCATATTGCACATAAACTTCTTCATCACCCCTCCTTCCCATCTCAGTGTTGGAATTCCTCAGCTCCAAACCCCTCTGTATTCTGTATTTTTACCCTCATTTCTTTATTTTTTCACCTCCTTGACTAATTCTGTCTCAGCCCAGACACTTTCTAGAAAGCCTGAAGTGGGTCCATTGCCTACATCTCCCAAGTCTCCTGCCTTCACCTCAGCAAAAGCTACACAGCAAACACATGCTGGGTGTTGATACCTAGAAGAAGAAAACCCTGTTACAGAGCAATCAGGGCAGGTAAAAAAAAAAAAAAAAGATTACTTGACAAAAGACTTAATTCTCACTGTCATTAAATTCTGCCAGCCAGGGGGATGCACAGGGTTGCCTTTTATCACACATGCTTGCCACATTACCGACCAATCTCTGCTAGCACAGAGAGCAACCTCACTTTCAGTGCTCCCCAAGCTGAGAGCTGCCGGTAGAGCAGGAGCAAACCAGAGGTCTGAGAAAGTGCACCGTCATAGCACAGAAAAGGTAGCTCTGGGCTTCCTATCTCTGCCTCTCACGCTCTCCTCACATCATCCCACATAGCAATAGCCTGTCACAGGAGTACAGCTCAGCAGACACCTGCCATTGCTTGCAATGAAGGAAACTCAGCCTGTAAGAGACACCTAGAATTGAGGTCATGTGGGGAGCCCTGGATTTCAGGAGCTGTTTGAGCTCCTACTTCCTTTGAAAAAATCCCAGGAAGAGTTCTCCAATTTGTTCACTCAGCTGAAACACAAACCAGACCATGCTAAATGCTGAGCCAAAGAATTAAATTTGCTGCTAAAAGAATTTATGCCAAGACAAACTCCATTCACATTAATAATTACATATATTAGTGTCCTGCTGATCTATTGTCCTATAGTGGCAGGTTTAGAAAGACATCCCCAAATGTTGGTAAAAACAGCTGTGGATAGACAAGGGAGGGCAATAAACCAGAGAATTCAAACACAAGTCAGCTGATTAGACATGCAGGCAAGCCAGAGGACGAGTGGAAGGAGACCAAGCTCCCGAACAAACTTTTCTAGCAATTGGGAAGGTCCCAGAAGTGCAGAGAACAGCAGAAAGATAGATGTGACAGTCTGTGGGGTTTTGACTTTCAGCCATTGTTACAGGTAGCAGGTCATATTTGATTTCTACAATGCAAACCAGCTTAAGAAGGGATTAGTTTAAAGCCCACTAAACCCACGTAAACGGTGCAACCTCGGAAAAAAAATGGAAATGGTGCCCTGGAACAGGGAGCTGTTACGTGCTTCGATTGCTGGAGTTGGAGTGTCAAGCGTTTGAGCTAGAGGCACCAAAGCCAGAGAGGGAAAAGCAGCCTGGTAGACAGACTTAAGTGATTTACCTCTGCAAAATGTGATTGAACAGACTGGGAGAATAGCCAAAACCACACCTCTGAGTACAGGAGGGCAGCGCTGGGGAGGGGACAGCAGTGTAGCCATTCCAGATGCTATGCTTGGATATAAGTCATGGAGATGAGCCAGAAGAAGGAAAATTTACACTAAACGTCTGAGAAAACTTGATAGTGAGAATCATTAAGCAGCACAAAACTCTCCTGAGGAAGAGAGAAGCTCCAGCACTTGGAGTATTTAAAATCAGCCTTGACAATGCTCTCAATAAGAGGAACTGTAGCAAAACAACAAAGCATAGCAGGGACTACACTGCGTGACCTAAGATCTTCTCCAACTCTGATTTAACGATTAATTGCCTTCCCTTAGAACAACAGAGATTACTTAGCTTTTGCAGCTAATTGTTGTTGCCATACAACAGTGGTTTCTTACAAGAGGGGCTGGAAAGCAGTGTCTTCTCTCCAGTCACGGTTCTAGCGGCACACTCCAAATTAATATGCTTACCCTGTCCCTGCAGTTACAAGAATGCTATAAAAAGGTATCTGCTGACCTGCTTCTCAACTCTGCAGAAACATACTGAGTAAGCTGCTTTGGCAATACTCTGGAGAGCTACCCAATTAAGATGCTCTGAAGCGCAATTTCTTCCCAGCAAAGAAGAACAAGCCACACGCCAGCCTTCCTCCCAAACTGCACCTTGGGTTCAGCAATGACATCACGTGTCACCTTGCAACTATCTGTAACGATGCAGAAACCAGCTGTTACAACTGATTTTTGCAAACAGGAAAGGAAAACGCTACAGTCTCCTTAAACCTCCAGCACTGGGACAAGACCAGTAAGCTTTCCAAGACTAGCTTCCATCATGCAACACCACACACCTCCCCTGACCCGCCAGGTACGCGCTGCGGCTCCCAAGATCTGGTCCATGAAAAAGGCACCTGCAGATACCTGGATGGGGAAACTTGTACCAAGAGGTGGCTAAGAAGTCGTGCCAGCTGATACCAGCTTTCCAAGGCCATGCTTCAACCTTTGTGCTGCCACATCAGGAGCATCCGATGCCAGCTGACAGGCTACAAAGGAACCGCAGGCAGAGAGCGGATCCACAGCAGCGTCTGTGAGAAACTGAGCAGATAACAACAGCGACTTGCCGAAAAAATCTAGTGCTCCTCGGGTAGGAACATCAGCCTGAGACAATCAATGACATCTAAAGTGATACCAGCAGCTGAGAAGGCTCTCCAGGCTTGACATACTTGAAAGGAACCTCTACTTGGATTCAATAAATCCTCCAGCCCCAACTAACTTTGCCTGTGGCTCTGCAGCTTTAACCTGCCGACCTGGACATGAACTATTAAACCTTTAACAAGACCTTCAGGTTCAGCCATTTGAGAGTTGAAACAGAAGCATTTTAAACAAAAATGGCTTTCCATCTACGATCTTTTTTAAAGGAGAAAAAAAAAATATTACTGCCTTGTAAATTTAGTCAAGCAGACTACAAAGCTTCTGAAGGATAAAAGTCAAAAGGTGCCAGATTTTAATGTAAAGCTTCACTGCTGAAAAGGTGTGAGCCCACTAAAAATTGGCACTGGGCTCCCAATCACTCCTGTCTTGTTTGTGATCTGACTGGAGGAAGCAGCACCTTCAGAAATAACCCCTGGAACAATTTTCTCACCTTACAGCATAAGCACCCTTCTGCGTCTCTTGCAGCACAACCCTCTGACAGCCAACACCTGGTATTTTGGGGAAGAGGTACCTCGTAAGAACAATGCTATTTTCTTCAATAGTGTAGGTTTCCGATGCTTTAAATCCCAGACTTGAGCATAAGAACCGACTTTCAAAGTCAAGTCTGAAAGCAACACAGATGCTTTCCATCAGCAGCAAGTACACAACATACCCACTTGGAATCCCATTAGCACCTACACTAAATTAAGGATTTACTTCAAGTTGGGCTTTGCTGTAGAGCCTGCTAACAGCCAAACTGTTAAGGCGAGAAGAACTCTCCTCTGCAGAGCCTTTTTTACCTCTGCCAGCACAAGGTCATGGTTTATCCTGCGACAGTCTGCTGCTCTGGCTGTCAGATGCCCCCAGGGAGGGCTGGCTACTTAACTTCATCTTCCTTGACAGGTAGGGTTCTCGGGATCCTGCGGGCGCTCGACAGCCGCTGCCAGGCGGATGCTCTACCTACAGGCGCAAGTCTCGAGCCCGGGCAGCAGAGCTGCGCGCAGACAGCGAGGCCGGGGGCTGGGTGCTGCGCCCCTGGCTCGGCTGTCAGCTCCAGGCACGCCGCTTGCGTCAACGGTCAGGGAACAGCGAGTTACTGGGAGGGCTACGCTCTCATGTGTGCCTGGCTGTACTTGAAGTTCAAAATGTGCATTTTATCCAATGTGCTGTACCATGTGGCAGAGCTGCCCTTAATCAGCAAGCCAACAGCTTTCTGCAGCTGATCTGAGAACTGGCCGCAGATGTCAAGCTATAATCCGAGCCCTTAATTCAGGGAGCTCCCAGGAGGGTTCTCCTCTGCTGGAGTAAGACCTGGTCTAGTAGAGGCTGTTAAAAAAAATAACCTAGGCAACAAATCCAAGAAAGCACTTTTCACACCTAGCTACCCAAGGCTGCTCCGTGGTGGTTGGCTCAGTAATCTTGAGGCAGCTCACACACAGGCAGATATTGTGCCATTTATCAAGCAGGCTCTGAAGGGAGAACGTCTGCTGGCTGGACTTGCTGCTCACGCCGATTCTCAGCCTTGTTTTTATGGAGAGTTGAATGTGTGAAACCTGTTTCCAAGTACCAAGAGCTCTGCATTTGTGACCCAAGATATATTAACACTTCTGATGAATGAGAGCTCCAGCGGTTCTGCATTGTGAGCGAGAAGCTGAAGAGTGGAGGAGCACAGGCGATGAGTTACAGCAGGACTGAGAGCGGAAGGATAAGCATGATTTAGTGCATTAGAAAGATCGATCTTTTCTCAATGAAGAAGCCGCACCTTCAACTGCTTTTATAGAAATGTGTTGTCAAACTCATTGGAAGCAACAAAAAATGCTCTGCACCTCACATGGCTCAGCAGCAAGGGAGAGGTCTGTGTTTCCAAATGTCACTTTTCAGGAAGAAATGCAGCTGGCAGATCCTTCCCTTTCACTACTCGCCAGATCATCTTACAGGCATTCTGGAAAACTGAAGCTACGCTTCCTTCAGGTGCCTGCTCAGTAGCTGCAACAAACAGCCCTGGCAGCTGACAGCCGGTAACGCTGGGGAATGCAACACGCCGATTGCCAATTCTGAACGCAGATCCCAAGAGAACTGCAATGCTGCAGGTTCAGGCAGACTTGCTACAGCTCCAGGAGTCCCTGCAGCTTGTTTTCAACTGTATCATCTCCTGCAAGTGGTTACCATCTCACAGAAGAGATGATCGTATTTGTGCTGTGACAGGCCGGGCCTGAGCTCCAAAACTGTCACAGCAGGTTGGCTCCCCTTCACCCATTTCCAAGGTTAGGGGAGCGATTCTCCTGTACCCGAATGAACAAATCGGATATTCCAATTTGACAGCATTTCAGAGCCCTTGAAAGGCCCTTTATTAGTAGCAGTGGTTCTCCTTAGCACAGAAAGGCTCCTATCCCAGGCATTTTCTTATTTCAAATTTGACTTGAAGACGTATCTGGAAAGATACTCACCAATGCAAATACCTATTTCAGAACCCATTTTCCTCTTTGAGAGCTCCAGGTCTCACACACATGGTGGCAAAGATACCCCACCCACCCCATCTCTGCCACTAGGCACGACCCCAACAGCCTACGTGTTATCAGAGGGGTGACACCGCTTTGATTGTGAAAAGGCAACTACGGGACCCAAGCAAGCCTGTACAACTACTAGAGCCTGCCCTGGCTGGCAAACGAGACACAGCTACCAAATACTCGTGAAGCTCAACGCAGCCTCTTGCACACCTTTGGGCAAAAGCTCGTTATCGCTTACGAGCGCCGTGCTCCGCAGAGGCCGCTCTGGGCAGGGGGACCACAGCACCCACAAGTGCCACATAGCCTCCAAGATGCTGACAGGGCGCTGCAAGGGTGTCTCCCAGCAGAAGTCAACAGCACACAATTAACTGAGTCAGTTTTCTTTAGCAACAGGCACACCCCAAAGGCATCTGACAGCAGCTTTTTAATCTGTAAGAAGTAAAGAAGATGAAGCAGGCAGCAAGGATTGGGGTCCGTTCAGCCCTACAGTGCTGCGCCCAGTCTAACTTTGCCTTTACCCTTTGAATAAATGGCTGCTTGACTGGGCGTTGAACCCGAGTCAACAGGTCAAGAAAATTATCATTACTACTTTGGGACAGGAGGGAGAAGCCTGGTATTCCTTATCACAAGATGCAAGGTGACTGGCACACAGAAGACTGTGTAGCTATATTTTATATAAGTAAGCCTCTGAAAATATTTCCATTTCCTCATCTTCTTGTAAAAACGGCTTTTTTGTTAACTTGTCAAATACTTTAGTTTCTTTCCATGATTACAAATGTTAAGATTAAACCAGCTGTATTGGGCAAAAGATTAGAAATGGTAATAAAAATAACCTGAACAAGACTGTAATTCATTACTTCTGAAATAATTGCCTAAGGAATGTACAACTAGTCTTTGAAGTTTCTAATTAACATGACAAAAGTTGAAAGCTATCAGTTTGGTTACTTCAGGACTTACTTTTCTTGTTACTAAACAAAAAACCCCCACCAGAATAGGAGATGAACATAAGGTCCTCAGGTTCAAACCAGCCCTGCATCTACTTCAATATTCCCCAGCTCAGAAAAACCACATTAAGCAAATTCAACTTGATGAGTGTTTTGGTTCTTCAATGAATACAGGAACATTTGTATTCTCTACTCCTATATTATGCTATAAATTGTTTCCTAAGTAGGTCACCAAAATGATTTCTGAATGTTTCAAGACATAATTTCTACATGATCTCACAAAACAGAACCAGAGTCTTGGCTGTCAGGGCAACGACAGATCTCCATCAAACCCACTGCCGTCAAAAAAGTAAGGGGAGTGCTCTTTTTAACTTGGCATCTGCTATCGTGATTCAACTCTTTGCAGAGAAATATACTATTACTCCATATGGCAGCTTCCCCAATTGTAAAAGGGCAGCCAACTTCTATGGCAATGAGAGAGCTCACAAATTAGCAACTAAGTCTGGCACTAATGAATGCTCCGCTGTCTCAATATAAGGTAGCTGGAGGTTTCCTCGCATGTTTTCGCTTTGCTTTGTTCTAGCAGGAGATGCTACAAGAAACAAACTGTGTCCCGATTCCTTTAGAGATTTAATAACCCAAATACTTCACTTCCTTCGAGATCAAAGGAAGCAGCAACTTGAGATGGCTTTGTTGAGAGTCCCCAGCGTTATGGAGGCAATCAGGACTGTCACCTCCTAGAGACTTCCAGATTTCCTTCAGAGCAGGAGGTAGATTTTACCACAGCTGACTCAAATGCAGTGATACAACCTCATCCCCATGACATGGATGCAGAGGGAATCCAGCTTTTCCACAGGCTGGAAGAGCCCTCTGTGGAAGACAAGAACATGTAATTCATTCACTGTCCGCATGCTCCCCCATCGCATGACTGAGCTCAGAGCTGGAGTGTAGGACTGCTCGTTTGAGCGCCAAAGAAGCTATTTTGAGCTGTTTGCCCAAAGACTCATCAATAAGTCATAAGCCCCAGAATGGAAGTCAAAAGAAGGGAAAAAAACCCCAGTTGCTCAGGCAGAATAAATAGTAACTTCCATTGCATTCTCTTAATCTAAAAAGAGAATGAGCTGCTTCAAAATATTCCCCTCCATGGGCTGCTACGCTACAGGAACCCAACCTAGTTCTATCTGCTGAAGACTTGAGGAGAGTGAGACATGCTACAGTGCAAGTTAACCACATCTTTGGATCTAGGAAAATCATCCTAGACCCAGCTACACAGAGCAGAGGCAGGAGTCAATCGCTGAGCCCCATGCCAGAGTGGCTGCACATGGCAGCAGTGAGGAAGAGCCTCCTTCCAGGGAGAACTGTCTGCCTGACGAGTACTTCAAGACCAGTGCCCTTGAGGCACACCAGGACTGATGGAGACAGTCCCCAGTCCAAACCAGAGGTGAACATTTCCCTGGATCTGTCATGCCTTTATCAGACTGGCAGCCCAATCTGATAAAAGCCTCTTCTAGGGAACACCGTCCCCAACACGCACCGACAGCTTCATTAATGAAACATTAGCTGCTTACGTCATTTCTCCTCTGCCTTTCCTGGAACACATCATCTTTGCCTTGGATTAAGCTACCTGGGGCAGGGATGTGCCAATGCCTTTGTAAAGCACCCTGGAAGTTAAGAGCACTACAGAAATATTAATCACTCAGCAGTTGCCATCTTTCCTGCAATTCCTTTAATTGCCTAAATTCTTGCTGACAGCTCTTGCTGCCTGCTCCACCACAGGCATGCACTTTCTCTGTTCAGACCAGCTCCAGTTCATAAACCCAACCAAACCTCGTGTGGGCTTTATAGAAGAGTGTTACTGGAGCAGGCAAAGACCTTAATCCTCAAGGTGCAAGCAGTGGGTCTCTGCTTCAGTCCTTCTGGAGGAGACTAGAAAAAGGAAACAGCAAGAAGTCTTGGCCAGAGGCATGGCCCAAACCCATGGGTTCTGCCTGGCTACCCTACACACATGGTATTTTGTTACTAGAGTCTTACCACACTGGGCCAAACAAACTGGGCTGAGCACCTGCCGATCTCCCCCCTGCCCAGAATGAGACAATTCCCTCTTACCTGAAGGTTGTTCAGAGGCTCCATTTTCATGACTGGTCCCAGAGTGTTGAGGGGCAGGGAGACATCAATGCTTTGGTTTGGCATCAGAGGTGTGTGAATGGCCAGTGGGGTGCTTGGGATGACCCCGAAGCTGGGCAAGAGAAAAACAGAGGTGATGAGAGCAGCGCTGCATTGCCCAACACCTATTCCCTTTTGCCAAGCACAAGCTGGTTCATCTTCCCATTACTCTGAGCTGTCCCTGCTGTTACTTCAGGGGAGGGACACAGCTTAAAACAGCAGACACTCAAAGCAGGACAAGGTACGGGAAACTCAATCAGGTCTGTCCTGCTGACAACATGTGCCATCCTGCCCACGGGAGCAGCGTCTGGGAGCTCTTCCATTCCCCGCACAGCACCGAGCAGCAGCCTGCCCAGCAAGGAGCGGCACCTGGACTCAGACTCAGACCCCTTGGTGCGCTCTCACAGAGTGGGAAGCACTGCAAGTAGAGAACATCACACACTGCATGGCTGGTGTATCACTGGGAGCTATGGAAGAAGGAACTGGAGCCAGCAAGGAACAAAGAGAGCGCCAAGGAGGAGTACGTGGTTTGTAACAGAGCACGGCAGAACAAAGCAATCCATGCACCAGCTGTCTGGTCCCGAATGACAGCGCCTGGCTCTGCTGCGTGATTTGAGGCTCCTTCAACTGGGGACCTATACAGCCACAGCAAAGCGAATGTTTGCTTGCCCGCTCAGGCATTTAATTCCACGGGCACCTCTATGTAGTGTGGAGAAGAGGGACAGTAGCTAGCATTTAACGTAACACTTCTGTACTATGTACTGGCTTCTTTTCGAAAGCAGATGGAAGTGCAGATGCATAAGATAGTTTCGGTGTCCACTCGTGACTGTGTTCCTCTTTAGCAGAATTCACATTAGCTCAGAGGTGACAGAGTATTCAGAGGAACAAAGATGCCTAAGTGTGTATTTTTAATTTTATGCACTAAAAACCTGATACTGTCTCTGCACAGTCAGCCACATGTGTATTGGGTATGACACTTTCAGAAACTAGTAGATGTCCCACCCTGTTCTCCTTAAGTTTTCAGCTCTAGGGAGCTGAAATAAGAATATTCTCAGCAAGGGCCTAGCCACATTATTTGCCTTCTGCAGCCATTTCACGCTGGGGGACATAAGTCCTAGTGTTTTCCCTAAGACTCAGAGGGAAAACAAAGTTGCATTTTGCTACTAAGTGGCTGTGATATTACAGCACACCAGAGCTCTAGCTTTCTTTTCTTTTTTTTTTTCCAATGCTTTATCCCAAGACCACAATGAATGTAATTAGTAGTGGCAGAAGAGGGGGGAAAAGCAACAGAAACTTCCAAAGCACAAACTTTAATATTTAAACCTAAAGAGCTAACCCGCTGCAGCTCTTTCCAATGCACCAGCCACAGTGGAAAGCGGTAGAACAGTATTTGTAGAAGAGTAAATAGTAGTAGATTGTATATGGAGCGTGTGCTGATACGCTGCAAAAGGAGAAACTGCTGTTTTACTGCACAGTATTTAAACTTCTTACATCCTTGAGAAGTACCATGTAGGTGTGGCTAGAACACAACTTGATGTACGGGGAAAAAATCACAAGCAAAACTGCTTTTTTCAGGCCAATTTACATGAAACATTTGCATATAGCAGCTTAGCAAAACTCTCCAGAAAATACAGCAGTCCACGGAGAACATTTACTAAGACTTACTTAGCATAATGTCTTCTGTAAGTAAATATTATTCATCCCAAGAAATCCCAAATTTGCAAGGCTAACAGTGATATTAAAGAGATGGTTTCAGTGGATCTTAGTACAGAGAACCCTTTTCCAGCAAAGGGATATTAAGAAATGTGGGAAACATTTCAGTTACAAAATATTCTTCACAATCCTGATAAGAACTAGTCTGGTCCTTGCTCAAACCTGGCAAACCACATGATAAGCTCTCTGACTGGGAAGGGTATTTGTGGGAAGACACTGTGGCTGTACTGCCACGTCACGTCTTTTGGCTGAGATTGGTTTCTGAGAACAATCTCCATGCTCTAAACATTCACGTAGTGCTCCTTCAGACAAAATTGTTCTGCTACCGATTACAGGGAAAGCATGTGCCGTAGGCTCTGAACTTGCAACTTGTCAAACAGCTTTATTAATGAGACCCACACTTCCAGAGAGTCTGAGGGGCAGCACAGCAATTAAGTCAGGAGGTAGAGGCATTACAGACGGATACTTGTGCAGCTCAAATGCTTGCCTGTTTATGCTCTTGCTTTCCTCAGGGCACTTACTGGCTACAAAACCACTAGCCTGCCTAACAACTCATGAGGCTGCTTTAAAACTCTGCAGAGAGTTTCAGTGCTAAGAGAACGATGGGACCGTCTGCTGCCGGTTTCCTCACAGATTTATCAGTCTGTATTTTCAGCCCTTTCACACAACTGTGGTGTGATGGAGACTTCAGGCTGTCTCCATGACTGCATTATATTCCTACATAAAAGTCCTCCCTATATCTAGCAGTGCAGACACAGATTCCTTTCATGGAGCACGCAATCTTTTTAACATAGTGAACAAAGCCTATCGATCTCTTACCTGTTCTTGTTGAACTGAATGGCAAAGTCGGTCATGTGCTGCAAAGCCTTATTGGTAAAGTTCATCTCCATGTAGATGTGTCCCTGTCTGTGACTGAATGTGCCCGAGATCTCCAGTCCTTTAGCCTTTACTGCAGGCAACCAAACCTTGAACACAAGAGATGTCATTCAGCATAAGTCTGGCCTGAAGATAACAAACAAGTAACAGTTTTCCAAACAACAGGGAAGTCCTGAGTTCGGAAACCCAGCTACATTGGCACATTAAGCCCACAAACGCTAAAGAAACACTACAGGGAAGATACAACACAGGCTGTTGAAAGGATAAAGTTCACCAATGAGAAATAAGCTTGCTGCTCCTAATCCGTCTCTGTTCACATCACTCACATAAGAATTCAAATATACTACAGCATTAGTGTGCACAAGAAACAGTGAAAGCTTGTGTCCTTCACACTAATGCGAGACTTACCAAGTCTGCTGATGGACAGGCTTCTCCAAGGACTTGTTAGGCTATTAGAGGCAGGACAACACTAAGGTTTGAACCGAATAAAAGCACAGGGCTGATACTATTAGCTGTTTGGCTTCTGGATTCCCAAACCATCTTTGTGGCAAAAACCCAGACCCAAATCCAAGTGGTGCAAAATGAAGCACTTCTTAGCTCAAAATTACTGGGTTCTTTTGTACTTGGTCTTATGCATGGTGTTATACTTGGAAGCAGCTAAGGACCAAAAGCTTTGAATATGCTCTGCAGTACCTTGAGATCCTAGATTTCACAGGATGACTTAAGTTTATTCATCCATTGACTATTTAATCAGTGCTAATTTTTGTTTATTCCCTTTCAGACATGAAAGGCTAACCCTGAGCTCCCTGTGGCTGCTCCACAGCCTGTTACCAGAACCACGTTCTGCATCTCGCAAACCCTCCAGACGAAACACGCTTCAGTCAGTGCATCTGCGATCTGTGTCACTAATGGAGCATTTATCCGCATTACACTGCAGCATGCTCATCCCAATCACGTCGTTTTATCTTTACTGTCACGTTCGATTCCTCCAAATAAACGAATCTTCTATGGAAGTTGTAGCAAATTCTATCCTGCCCTCAGTTTCCTGGGGAAACTTGCTAAGAAGTAGGTCTCCAGGAAAGCTGCTCTGACAAAATTGAAATTCTCATATCTTACATAAGCCATTCTTTAGAATAATATTGTTACAGGCAAAATGAGGGAACTGCTTAAAAAAGCAGTAACTGTGTAGTCTGTAACCAGCAACTCGCATGGTCTCCAACGCAGTATTACTCTGCCCGGGAAAAGCCCAGGGCATCCCTAATGGGACCGAGTTGAACGAAGGTGCCTCGATAGCACCAGAGACCCACCATAAAGGGGACAAGCGAGCGCTCTCAGGCTTCTTGTAGCCTAAAGCAGGGCAACATACTGAGGGTGTTCTTTTTCCTTACGTACAGACTTCGGAGCCACATATCCTCCCGGAGCCATGCCTATACCAGATGAGAGCTCGAAAAGATCGTTGAGTCCACTGCTCACCACCGCTGGGGTGGGTGAAGGGGCAAAGGTGGCTGGCACGGAGGAGGGAATGTAGGTCTGCCCCACCTGGAGGGGTTAGAAAGAACAGGTACTGATTAACATCCTATATGAAGAACACTACTTATTAAATAAAGCATGAACTCTGGCAATATCCTAAATATTTTAAAGCGGTTTGCAGCTTCCCCGCTGAATTATCAATAGTGCTAAATAATACATTTGAATTCCAAAGCTCTTGGCAACTAATCCCTACACTCGGCTGTCACCTCAACCGTGCAATAGCTTTCACATAATTTTTTATAGCTCCAGTTATCTGCTCCCACTGTAGAGGAATCTTTTGACTCCACCTCTCCTTCTCATAAAGACAACATGCCTTGTGGATCTACCCTACATAAACCCAAGGAAAAGAAAAAATGCTTCAGATCTTCCCCCAGCTACAACAGTCTTCAGGAATCTGCAAGATTTTGCAAATCCAGAGATAGCAAGGGAGTCACGACCGTATTGCACACTCCCACCTAAAGCCAGAGCTCTGCATTCTCAGCATTATGGTCCAAAAGGTTCATTACATGAAGCAGAACTAGTTGTCTCTGCCAGATGACAGCCTTTCTGCAAGAAGGGACTTAAATGAGGGCACCAAACCTGGAATATTAACCTTTAGGTGCCCAGCTCCAGGTGGGACAGTCACACTCAAGTTAGACTCCCAAGTTCTCCTCTTTGCTGTGAGCAGGAAGAATTACATGCTTGAGAACAGGATCACCAGTCAAAAGCCCAGAAACAGGCAGAATGACTACGGCAGACAATCAGAAATACTGATGACAGGTCTGGGTCTGAAGTCTCGCCGCTCTTCTGTGTTCAGGAACACACTGAGATGTGGTCTTTCAATCAGCCCTTTGGACAGGGAGGGAGGACTGGTGGTTTTGCAGAACTGCTTCTGCTGGGTTTATGCTGGCCCAGGGAGGCAGAAACCCGGCTTTGTGGGTATGACCTCTACAGAGTAAGTATCTCGCGTGTCCTGGTGCATGCTGCCTGGGGGCTACAAGTATACTGTACCACCGGCTCTCCTCCGCCCTCATGCTGAAGTTAGAAAGGAATGCAGGATTCACAGGGAAAGAAGGAGAGAGAATGACTGCAGCCATAACAAGGGTCTCTGAAATGCCCTCACTCCAGAACTGAGTATGCCTTCCTCCCTGAATTACTGGCTACACAGTCCTGGGAAGAGGGACTGGAGCTTTCTCCAGAAGACTGCTTTTGGCTGTGGGTTGGAGGCACACTCCCTCCTGCCCACTGTGTCTCCAAGTCACCTTGCATCCTTTTCCCGTGCTTTCCTGGAAGAAGCTGGTATGCATTTGAAGCCAACGGTGCTTTGGAAGCAGCCTGAAAATCTCCCATGTCCTGGCAAGCACTCTAGGCACTCGGACACTCACAAAGCACAGGCACAGAGAAGGAGGCTGGTGGCAGGCAGAGATCAGCACCGACCCCACATAGTAGGAAAGCTCAGAGCTCCAGATCTTCATGTCCAGAAAAAAATCTTACGTGGCATTTGGGAGGAGAAAAGCACTGAGTTCAGACAAACCCGTGGTGACACTGGGTTAGGGTTACAACAGAACAGGCTTTGTGTGTAGACAGGTGAGCATCCTTGGCCTTTCATCTGCCAAAGCGGTTGCACAAGGACTGGAGTACTGCCAGTGTTAACGCTGGTGCTCCAACTAAAAGCTCTGAGAAAGAAGAGCTAAGCAGAGAGTCAACAGCTCTGGCCCTGGCTGCTCTTAGGAAAGCCCAGGTGACAGCTGGACTCAAAGCAACATAGGTGGGGACCTGTGTGTTTCAGTTACATTTGTCCATTTTCAAACACCTTCAGGGATTTAAAACATCTTCCAGCACATCATGGGTGAGGTTGTATTTAAAAACCCTGAGCTTTGAGCAGCTTTTTAAACGGGGGAAAAAAACGGAATGGCACTTACTGCCGGGCTTCCTCCAATGCCCCCGCCAAGGTCACTGCCAAGCTGAAAGAGAGAAGGAGAGAGAGGAGAGAAAGACCGAGTTCATTTAAGCCAAGTGTCAGATGGCTGGAGCAGAGCTCAGCTGACCGCTCTGCCGCGAGCACGTCTCGCTCGCTTGCCGCGTACAGGACAGACAGAAACGCAATGATGGGAAAGCACAGGGAACAGAGGGGCTGTTTTGCTGTCGGGTGAGCAGAGCTATTTCGAGAACTACCCCACACACCTACTGGGGACAGGAGCGGTTTGCAGGTTAATAAGAACAAAACCTCATCCCCTCTTGCGCCTGTCACCTGCACCAAAAACTGTGCGCAATTCTTTGTGTATCATGCATCAGCGCTTTCGCTTCAACCCACCACGCTGGTTGCCAGCACTCCTGAGCAGCTCCACAAAGCGCAGTGGGGTAACTGTGAAATGGAATAAAAATAAAACTGACGGGAAGCTCACTTCCTGAAAGCTTTAGTTTGCTGGGGAACGGCTATGAACCACAGGAAAACAATGCGTCTTGGCCAGGTTCCTCCGACATGCGGCTCTTTTCAATAACGAGGAAGAAAGAGAGCGGGATACGTGCCGGCTCTGACAACAGCTCAGATAGGTGGGCTTTGTCTTCCCTTTAAAGATGCTCCCCTCCCTCAGACAGGAAAAAAAAAACCAGCTTCATGATATAATGGGCCACCCAAATAGCGAAGAGACCTTACGGTGGGCTAGGGTATTTCAGTAATGATCTCTGCCAAGCTTCACTTCCAAGCGACTGAAATACCCACCACGTACCTCCCGCGCAACCCTCCATAAACACTAAATCCTCTCCGGAGCCCTTCTGACAAACCACCCTGCAGCCCACCTAGAAGCTGTCCTACCATGAACTCTCTTACCAGACCACTTTCTCAGTGACAAAGCCCCTTTTTTAAACATCCACACCATTCTACACACTTGAGAGAATTCAGTGACCAGGACAGACTCCATGGCTACAAGTGCTGTTTGCAAGTACAACATCACTCCCGTGAATATTTATAAAGCACTTGACAGATGACTGATAGCCAGGAGGAAACAAGCACAGATTTGCAGTGGTTATTCACAACAGAGACATCTCCAGGCTTATCTGTGTCCTAGGCTTTGATCCAGAAGACCATGGTAGTTTTCTGCCTAGTGCAGGGGTTTTTTTGTTGGTTTTGTTTTTGTTTTGGTTTTTAATCATCACATTCAGACAAAGTTCACAGCCTGACAACATGCATGGAGGATGAAGCAAGTGCAGGGGTGAGGTAGGAGCCAGCCCCATGGGGAAAAGGCTGGACTGGCAGACCAGAACAACACAGCTTGCCTTGTAGGTGGCTTTGCTCTTCCATTTGGTTAAGGTTTGGGAAGTGAGTTTCCTTTAAAAAAGCATTTGACAAACTGGGTCAACAAAGGCTCTAAGTATGTTGTTCAAATATATGCTGATGTGTTAAGATACTGAAAAAAATGCACCATAGAGCTCAAGCAAAAGCTTCCAGGAGCACCTGTGCTTAGAGCCAAAAAGGCTCCAGCCTTTTCCATCTGCACAAAAGACTTGGGAAATCCAACCTTGTTCTGGTCCCCACTAGCCTGTTCCCTGGGAGATCTCAAGGCAAATATATTTTATGCTGGCCAAGAAATACCATAAAGCTTCATACTTCTCTCCCTCAGAGCACCAACAGAAAAGATAAAATGCCTTAAGAACAGCAGCAAAGTTGCAAGACAGTGACTTACCAGATGATAACTAGCCTCCGGAAAACCTGTAAAATTTGGCAAATCCCTGTGCTATTCTGGACCCCCTTCCATCCCCTGGCATCTCACCTTCCCCTAGTCCTCACAGGAGCCACCTGATGCAATATTAGCTGCCATAAGCAGGTGTTAGAGAAATACAAATCACACACAATTCGCCTTTTGTTAAGCTTTTTTCCTGTGGGAGACTCAGTATATCCCTACTTGAGGTCTTGACAGAAATTTCTAGGACATCTCCCATCTTCAATAGCCACCTCTTCATACAGCAACCCATCCTCTTGCTGCCCATGGCAGTGCACTGCACAAGTCCAGTTCTTCTCCACATTCTTAAGAGATAATACATAAAAGTGAGTGATTCCAAAGTTGAAAGAAGGATCAGTCACAGACCAAAGGAAGTGAGCCAGAGGATGCAAATCCAATTAATACTGAGCTTATAAAATAGGGCTTATTACACTGTCAGGTCTCACCCTAGAAGCCTGGCAGAGCAGAGTTTTGTTCTACAGACTGCTCTTGAAGCCAAGCCATGTATTAGATTAATATATCAGATCATTTACATCCTGTAACTGGCTCACTGAGGAGTAATAAATGCAACTATTACACATCATCCCTATTCACAGTCTTGCACGCAGATGAACTTCACACTTTACACTGATGGGCAGTGAGGTCCAGAAGAAAAAAGGTAAAGAACCCAGTTCATCCCAGGTATCGCTGTATGCATGGAGGATTCTGGTACTGTTGTCTGAATCAGAAGAAAGACTGGTTTATCAAGCAGGAAGGATTTTACAAACACATTATGGAAATGACTGAATAATTCTGCATAAACAAGCCAGATGTTAACTATTCCACCATTTCCTACTACACTCATCATAAGAAGCTGCAGGCTAGGAATCCAGCCTCAGAGAAACCCGTACACCGGTTATCTACATGCACTCACTGTGAAAGAGGGAGGGAATGACATACTGGGGTTCCTCAAGCTACGCACAAGTCTTCCATCTTCCCTAGCTGTCAGGCCTTGGGGGAAAAGTAGAATTTGGATTTATCGCCTGTCTTGAGTCCAGACTCCAGCTCTCACCCCCTACTAAGCAGAGAAAAAAAATTCACTGGCTCAGAGAATTTACCATGAGCCTCCTCACATTTCTAGATTGCACCCAGCATCTCTGCTTTGTGGTAGAAAAGATCTCTCTCTGATGCCAGGAAGCTCTCACCTGCTCCTCATGAAGCCCTGCTTTACTCATGGGAGGGCTCTGCACACAGCAGCCTGCCACTCTCTTGGCTCCTATGCTTGGGACCAAGTGCTGCAGATGTGTGCTACAAAGCCACAGAGCAAGCTCC